TGGAGGCGAACTCTTTCCAGACTTTGGACAGGAACTGGGGCCCCCGGTCAGAGACTATTTCCTCTGGAATGCCATGTAGCTGGAAGACATGCTTAACCAGGAGCTGGGCCGTGTCTGCGGAAGAAGGGAGAGATCTTAATGGGACTAGATGACAGGACTTGGAAAAACGATCTATATTTGTGAGGATTGTACTGAAACCATGAGAAACGGGTAAGCCGGTCACAAAATCCAGGGCAATATGTGACCATGGTCTGGATGGCACCGGAAGGGGGTTGAGGAGTCCAGCTGGGGGTTGGTTAGAACACTTATTACGAGCACAGGTTTGACAGGCGTTAACATAATCCTTGACATCACGAAACAGTGTAGGCCACCAAAAAGACCTACGAATGAAGGCAACTGTTCTACTTATCCCAGGATGGATGGAGAACTTAGCTGAATGAGCCCAACGTATCACGAGACCTGTAACCTTAGAGGGCACATACATCCTGTTGGGAGGACCATTACCTGGACCAGGCTTGGTTCTTAGAGCCTCCTCCACCTGCTTTTGTATATCCCATACCACCGCCGCTCCCACCAGGCAGGATGGGGGAAGGATGGTGTCAGGTACCGGGTCGGAGTCAGGTGAATACTGGCGGGAGAGGGCATCTGGCTTAGTGTTTTTGTTTCCTGGTCTGAAAGAGATGAAAAAATTAAATCTCGAAAAGAACAATGACCAGCGGTACTGTCTGGGATTAAGCTGTTTCGCCTCCTTCAGATACAACAGGTTTTTGTGGTCAGTCCAGACAATCGTGGGTAAGTCAGCCCCCTCCAGCCAATGCCTCCATTCCTCGAAAGCCAGTTTAACAGCCAACAATTCATGGTCTCCAACATCATAATTACGCTCGGCCGGGCTCAAACGTCAGGAGAAGAAGGCACATGGATGAAGACGGTGATCAGCGGCGGAGACCTGAGACAGGATGGCTCCTACTCCCGTGTCAGAGGCGTCAACCTCGAGGGTGAACTGCCTGGAGGGGTCAGGTCTTGTTAGTATGGGAGCGTGGGAGAACTTGTCCTTTAGTTCGCTGAAAGCCTTATCGGCCTCTGGGGTCCAGGCAAAGGGTCGTTTAACTGAGGTGAGGTCGTTGAGAGGAGCAGCGGTCTGTCTGTAGTTAAAAATGAATCTCCTATAGAAATTTGCGAAACCCAGGAACCTCTGCAAATGTTTGCGTGTTGTAGGCGTTGGCCACTCTAGCACGGCTTTTACCTTGTCAGGGTCCGTCCTCAACTGCCCACTCTCCAAAACAAAACAGAGAAACTTGACTGAGGGCACGTGAAACTCACATTTCTCGGCTTTGACGTACAGACGATTCTCCAATAGTCTTTGGAGTACCGCTCGGACATGGACTTTATGCTCAGCCAGGTCCTTGGAAAAAATTAAGATGTTGTCAAGGTACACAGACACGAACTTGTTAATGAAGTCACCCAGGACACTGTTCACCAGAGCCTGGAAAACAGCGGGAGCATTGGTCAGGCCAAACGGCATTACATGATATTCGTAATGCCCCAGGGGTGTTTTAAATGCCGTCTTCCACTCATCCCCCTCCCGTACACAGATCAGATGGTAGGCATTACGGAGATCTAACTTAGTAAACACAGTGGAATCTTGGACTGGTTCGAATGTAGATGACAACAGCTGAAGGGGGTACTTGTTTTTAATAGTTATCTGATTGAGCCCCCAGTAGGCAATGCAGGGTCTAAGGGAACCATCTTTCTTTGCCACAAAGAAAAACCCAGCACCCAGGGGGGACGTAGACGGCCGTATGAGACCAGACGCCAATGATTCGTTTATATACGTCTCCATGCATGCTCTCTCAGGTCTGGAAATGTTATATAATCCGCTGGATGGCAATGTGGCCCCTGGAAGTAGCTCAATAGCACAATCAAAAGGTCTATGAGGGGGCAGAAAGGTGGCTTTAGACTTGTTAAATACCTGATGCAGGTCATGGTAGACGGGTGGCACACCTGACAGGTCCGGCGGGGAGCAGTTCTCGGGCGTGGGAGCCTCCGGGGACGGATGAACCGAGCGTAGGCAGCTTGAGAGGCATTGAGTACTCCAGGCCACCACTTGGCTGGATCGCCAGTTGATGTGGGGTTCGTGAGTGGCGAGCCAGGTATGACCCAATATCAGAGGAGACTGAGGAGAAGGAGAGACATAAAAAAAAAGATATTCGTAATGATTGCCAGATACCTGCAGTTGTATGGGTACTGTCTTGTGGGTGATGGATGGGAGAACCTCTCCATTGAGTGCAGCCACAGGAATGGGTTCAGGAAGAGAAGTGAGGGGAATCTGGAGTTTGTCCACGATGGTCCGGTCAATGAGATTCTGTTCACATCCTGGGTCGACAAGGGCTTGGGTAGTGAATGAATGCCTGTTAAATGATACTACACAGGGGAGGGAACACCGAGTCGCGTTGCTTCTGTTGATTCCACCCACCAGTACACTCGGAACTACTGGTGGGCCCTCTCTTTTAGGTGTTGCGGACACTTGGAGACAAAATGGCCGCCCTGGCCACAATAAATACACAACTCACCTCTCATGCGGCGTTCACGCTCCTCTGGCGTTAGGCGAGCCCGGTCGACCTGCATGGGTTCCTCATATTGCGTGCTGGGCCTGACCTGCGCAGAGGAACGAGGAGCAGAGGCAGAAAAGGTTAGTGAGGGTCGCTTGGTACCTCTAAGCTCCTGCTGCCGTTTGTCGATGGTGATGGCCAATGTGATCAGGTCCTCCAGTGTCCTGGGCTCTGGGCACAGAGCCAGCTGATCCTTAATCCTGTCATTGAGAGCTTGAACAAAAGCCCCCTTGAGAGAATCCTCATTCCAGGTTGATGCAGCTGCGATAGTCCTAAAATCCAGAGAAAAATCAGCAACAGTTTGCCGTCCCTGCTGCAGAAGCCATAGCCTTTTAGCTACGTCAGCTTGTGTCTCTGATCTGCCAAAAGTTAGCTTGAACTCCGTAAGAAAGTCCGCTAGTGGTCCCTGTAAAAACCCCGGCTGCCGGCTTCTAGTTTCGGCCCATCTCAAGGCTTTACCTCGTAAGAGACCAACAATGTAGGAGATCTTGGACGCTGCCGTGACGAAGGACGAAGGCGAGCATTCAAAAGCGAGGTCACACTGTAATAAAAATCCTAAACAGTTCTCAGATTCACCACTGAACGTCTCAGGAGGTGGCAAATCTGCTACTCGGAACAACAGAGAGCTCGGGACCTGTGAGACTTCCAGTCCGGGTGAAACAGGTGGGGGTTGAACAGAAGGTTCCGGAGCAGCGGCTCGTTCACAGAGCTTCTGCACAAGTGTCTCTAGCTGGTATACACGCTGTGTGACGTTAGCCAGTTGCTCAGTCAGTGTCTGAATCTGATCGGCCTGCTCAGTCAGGAAACCCGATAGATCCAGCGGAGTTAATCCTGAGGGGCCAGACATCTGTTGGCTGGATGATTCTGTCATGTTTGGGGTTAACCGTCTGACCCAAGACATACAGAATCAACTTCAGAGTCAAGAGGATGGGTGAGAAAAAACAGATAATTTATTAATCTCAACTAAAGGAGCACCGTTAAAGGCAGGTGATGATTAGGAGCTTAGCTCAGTTCTTTTTAGTCCAAAATCTTGGGGCTCAGAGTTCGGGGAAGGGAGGAGAGGAGAGAGGAGGGTCCGGCTGGCAGGTGAGTGGCAGGAGGAGCGCGAGTCAGGGTGAATCCTCTGAGTCCTGGGGGGGGGGGGAGGGTGCGGAGGCGGCAGAGAGCTGGCTGGTCAGAAGAGGCTGGAGCAGGAGACAGGCGTGGATCTGTGATTTATGGCAGGTTCTGTAAGTGGAGGATCGACCTGAAGGAGAGGGAGAAGCAGGGTGAGGTTACTCAGAACGAAGCTCGGAAGACAATAGTCAAAAGATAAAAGGCTTGTGACACTCAGGTAGCTCTACCAAGATTGAGTAATCATCCAGCGCTGAGGTGCGTCTCCCTGCTCCTTAAGAAGCCTACTGATGAGTGGCAGATGGCTCGCTGCTCTCCGGTTCTGCCCATCTGCACTCAAACAGAATGAGTCAGGTGTTTTCACTCACCTCCAACCGTGACATTCTATTCATCTATCTGCAGCCTTTCCACTTCCTTTTTTACTGTAGGCTAGGTTAAATCTTTTCTCACGGGCCAACAACAAAATAAAATACCATTTTATCTTAAATGAAAATGCAACATCTCACCTGTTAACTTTCATGTTTTGGAGCAGAAAAAGAGCATAAAACCAACATATTTAAAGCTCAGTTTGCTCCACTGGTTTACTGTGATGCTCACCTGTTCCAGCCAGATACCTGCATCATGGGGTTGATCTGAGCTGAGGAGGAGACTCCTGTTGTTTTGTTAATCTTCATCATAATAATGACAACATTAGATGACAACAGGTGCTCACATATGTTTGTGCTGATGAACATGTCTGAGCAGCTTGACCACGATGTTGTGTGTCGGGGAGGAAACACAACGACAGCAGCCACAGAGCCGTGCTGGTTTGAGCGTGTCGCTGTTTGCTGGAGTTATATCGGCTCTGTCTGGAAGTTAGTTGGAAAACTTTCTCTTTCAGTCGTGAACGCATTACTGAGCGTCTAGAGTCTCAGTTTCTGGGCTTCAACGTCAGAAAATAGCTGAGTGAACTCAGCGCTGAGTGAGAGGAGTGTAGTTTGTCCGAGACAGTGGGGCTGCAGACACCGGCAGCAGACGCTGGAAAAAACACAAAGGAGGGGGCGCGTCAGCTCCGCGCTGACACCGCAAAGCATCGTGGGAGTTGAAGTTTTTGCGATAAAAACGGCCAGCGGGCCAGTTTTAATATATTTTTGATATTTATCTCGCGGGCCGCATCTGGCCCGCTGGCCTTGAGTCTGACATAAGTGAATTAAAGACTTCTACATGGCGTCAGAAGAAAAGAAGGACCTACTGTGAGTTGGCAGAGCATGCTTAGTTGCAGGACGAGGGTGTAGGAAGATGACGGATCAGACATTCTCCATCGCATCTCCGGGTAATTTCAACTTTGAGGAGACCAGCTCCTGGCCGCAATGGATGAGACGGTTTGAGAGGTTTCGGCGGGCGTCCGGACTCGATGGAAAAGCGGAGGATTATCAAGTCAACTCCCTGCTGTACGTGATGGGGGACAGGAGCGATGACATCCTCGACACATTACCGCTCTCTGACCAACAAAAGGCAGTGTATGCAGACGTGACAAGAGCCTTTGGGGAACATTTCATCGGTAAGCACAATGTTATCTATGAACGGGCCAAGTTTAAAAGTAGACAGCAGCAGCAGGGCGAGTCTGCAGAAATTTTTTTTTCACGGATGTGCATAAATTAGCAGAACACTGTAAGTTTGGAGCTTTAATGGAGGAAATGATAAGAGACCACATCGTGGTTGGAATAAGAGATTCCAGGCTCTCAGAGAGACTGCAGTTAGACCCAGACCTGACGCTGGCTAAAACCATAACCCAGGCCTGGCAGCAAGAGGAAATAAAAAAACAACAGCAGCTGCTGCGAGGGGGCCACACCGAAAGTAAAGGGGCTAATGTGGATGCCATAAACACCAATAGAGGGAGACCACGCTATAGACAGACACCCCCACGCAGGCCAGAGCAGTTCATGTCCATGAGGAAAAATGTAAGAGATGCGGCAAGGGCCCGCAACACCCTTGGAAACGGTGCCCAGCCAAGGAGGCGGTGTGTCGGAAATGTAAAAAAAAAGGGACACTTTGCTGCAGTTTGCAGATCATCACAGAGAGTGGAAACATTAGTGGAGAGCGACCCAGAAGAGGACATAGCTTTTATGGGGTCTGTTAACACTGATGAGACTGAGGAGGAACGGCTGAAAAAACTCAATTTTAATGGAGAAAATGTGACGTTCAAACTGGATACAGGAGCTTCAGTCACAGCGGTTCCAGCTTCTATGTATTCCGAAGTGCGGGATGGCAGCTTGCTGGCACCTTCTAAAAAGATTAAAGGTCCTGATAACTGCCCTTTAAAAGTCCTGGGGGTCATGAGAGCACACATCAAATCTGAAAAAACAGAAACAAGACAGGATGTGTATGTGGTGTCAAACCTAGTGATGCCTTTAATGGGACTCCCTGCCATAATAACGCTAAACCTGATAAAGCAGGTAGCTTCAGTCCAGCAGGAGAAGCAAGAAAAATGCAATCAGTACAAAACTATGTTCCCAAAAGTGTTTACAGGCCTTGGGAAGCTGGAAGGGGCATGTAAAAAAAAAACTGAAAGAAGGAGCAGTCCCCTATGCTCTCTCAGCCCCACGCAGAGTCCCTTTACCTATGAAAGAACAAGTAAAACAAGAGCTAGAGAGAGTGGAAGCAATGGGGGTTATGAGGAGAATCGAGGAGCCTACCGCATGGTGCGCCGGGATGGTGGTGGTTCCCAAGCCAAACAAAAAACCCCGCATTTGTGTGGACCTCACTCGACTGAATGAAAATGTCTGCAGGGAACGTCACATCCTACCTGCAGTGGATGATACGCTGGCTCAGCTGGAAGGGGCAAAAGTGTTTTCTAAATTAGATGCAACATCTGGGTTTTGGCAGGGGCCACTACACAAAGATTACCAGCCATTAACAACTTTTATTACCCCTTTTGGCCGATATTGCTTCCAGCGACTCCCTTTTGGCATATCGTCTGCACCAGAACATTTTCAGTTGAGGATCTCGCAGATCATCGCAGGAAAACAAGGAGCATCGTGCCACGCGGATGATATTCTAGTGTTCGGCAAAGACAAAGCAGAACACGACGAACGGCTACAGCAGGTGCTTAAAAGATGTGAGAAGGCTGGCCTAACTCTCAATGAAAAATGTGAGTTTTCGGTGGAGAGAGTGAAGTTTCTAGGACACAACATAAGTGCAACAGGAATCGAGGCAGATCCGGACAAAATCAGCGCCACTGAAAACATGCCCGAACCACGAAATGTGGAAGAGGTCCGCCGTTTCCTGGGGATGGTGAATTATGTTGGCAAGTTTTCATCCAGCCTACCAGCCCTCACGAAACCTCTGCGAGACCTGCTAAAAAGTGACAGCACATGGACGTGGGACGCTCAACAGAGGACAGCGTTTGAAAAGATAAAAGAGGAACTGAGTTCTCCCCCAGTGCTGCTGGCACAGTATAGTCCCACAAAGGAAACAATGGTGTCAGCAGACGCGTCCTCATATGGACTCGGAGCGGTTCTTTTACAGCGGCAGGCGGACGACAGGTGGGACCTGTTATGTATATATCACGGAGCCTGACACCCACAGAGGTACAATATGCCCAGATTGAAAAAGAGGCTCTTGCTGCAACGTGGGCCTGTGAACGACTCAGCTCATACCTGCTAGGTTTGGAGTTTACAGTGAGAACCGACCACAAACCTCTGGTCTCCCTGTTCGGTTCTCGGGCCTTAGACGACCTACCACCAAGAATCCTAAGATTCAGGCTCAGACTGCTGAGGTTCAACTACAAAATTATTCATGTCCCTGGCAAACAGCTTGTCACAGCAGATACTCTTTCCAGAGCTCCTCAAGGACTGGAGGACAGAGAAGCCAATAGCAGCTTGCAGCAGGAATGTTGTATGTATGTTTACCACATCCTACGACAACTACCTGCCACAAAAAGTAAATTGTCTCACATCATGGACGTTCAGAGCTCCGACAGCGTTTGTAAACAGCTGAAAACATTTACGGAAAAGGGCTGGCCCTCCAACAGGAGGAACGTCCCAGAGCACCTTCCTCCATTTTGGCCCGAAAGGACTGATATTCATCTGGCGGAGGGCCTGCTTCTCAAAGGCAAGAGGATTTTGATTCCAGCATGCATGCAAACAGAAATGTTGGACAGGTTGCATGAAGGCCCTCAGGGGGTGACTAAATGTGTGGCACGTGCACAAGAATCCCTGTGGTGGTCGGGGATAACACGACAGATCAAAGACATGGTGGAAAGTTGTGAAATCTGCTGCCAGTTTTCACAAACAAAGACAGAGCCACTGATGACTACACCTCTACCACCACACCCTTGGCAAAAAGTAGCGGCTGATATCTTTCAGTGGAAAAACAGTCATTATGTTGTGGTTGTGGACTACTTCTCCTGATACATCGAAGTAGCCAACCTCCCATTTCTCACAACAGCTACGACGGTGGAGCGGCTGAAGGTGATCTTTGCAAGATTCGGCGTGCCGGAATGCCTGGTGACGGACAATGGCCCGCAGTTTGCTTCCTCGGACCTTAATCTGTTTGCCCAGGACTATGGTTTCCGGCATGTGACCAGTAGCCCTCGTTACTCTCAGAGCAACGGGGAAGCAGAGAGGGCCGTCAGGACGGTCAAACAGCTGCTCAGTAAAAGTCCAGACCCTCAGAGAGCTCTCTTAGCCTACAGAGCTACACCGTTAGCTCATGGACTGATTCCAGCGCAACTGCTGATGGGGAGGCGGATAAGGTCCACAGTTCCCACCACAGCACAAGCGTTGAATCCAGCCTGGCCAAACCTAGGAGCCTTCAGGAAAAGGGATAAAGAGTTGAAGGAGAGGCAGAAGAATTTGTTCGATAGGAGGCATAAGGCCAAAGACTTACCAGTTCTTATTCCGGGCCAAAGAGTGTGGATTAGAACATCACAGTCCACAGCTACGGTCCAGGGTCTGGCCTCAACCCCAAGGTCTTATGTAGTGGAAACCGAGCGAGGGAGTTTTAGAAGAAACAGGGCTCACCTGACTGTACTCCCTGAGACAGAGCTGCCCTGCTCCGAGGAGCCGGTGTCAGGCCTGACACAGACTCCCGGGTACCACTGTGACCAGGTCGGGAAGGGTTTCCCGCCCACCAGAGAGACTGGACTTGTGAATATTCTCATTTTAGTTGACCCCTACATTTAAAAACAAAAGGGTGATGTTTCTAAAACAAAGGTGTTTATGCTAGATTATATTGTAAAACAAAAGATTTGAAAATGCTTGGTTGTAAACACTGGACTATAAGTCAGGTTTCTGTTAGAATGATACTGTTATGAGTACAAGGTTATCTTACAAGTAGTTTTTCAAGCTAAAAAGGGGGGTGGGGGGGGGTGTAGAGGTGTTCAGGATGGAGCCTCTAGGGGGCGCCTTGGGACTGATAGTGAGAGAAAAAAGGAATGTGTGACGAGGCGGGAAAAGAATAAAGGAAGTAAGACAGAAGTCTTGTGAAAATCAACAAGTGGCTCCGTGGTCTTCATTTCATCAATTAAAGACTTCTACAGTAGATACCACAGGAAATTATATTGCAAAACTAATGGCAGATTAACAGCAAAAACAACCAGAATGGCAAAACAAATGTATAAAAACCTTAAAAACAAGTAATATAGGACAGCGGTGTCTTGATTTCATTTAAAAGCTCTACTGCATATGTTTAGTATGCATATGTTTTCGTTTCGGAACCACTGGATGTGTACCATCTGAGATGTGTTTAACGGGTCACATCTCAATTCGGTTCTGTTTATTTATATACAGTAGAGCCAAATCACAAAAGAGTCGTCGTCTCAAGGCACTTCACAGAGTTAAACATACCAACTTCAGAACTAATTTTCTTTAAATTGGAGGATACAAAATCATCTGCAACTCATCTCTGGTCATTTAAAATACTAATTCAGAATCAGCTTTATTGGCCTGTAAGGCTCATTCAGAATTTACACAAGAATCATTGAATCTTCATATATGATCAACATATTTTTATTTTCAAATCTACACAGTTGCACGTGTGATTAAAAATGGCAGCAGGTTTTAGACTTTGCCAAGTGGCAGGTAGTCCTAATTTTAGAACCTTGAATGGGGGCATCATGGTACCCACAAGCTGCTGGTTGATGCTTCTGCTTAACAGTAAATAAATGCATCCACAAGCAGGAATTTCAGAGGGATGTTTTGATCCTTGGGCTTTTCCAGCATGTTAACATCTTAGAGCAGCTTGCATCTGAACAACAGACATCTACGTTAATGCCAGGTGTGATCGTTTTGGTTTCTATGATCAGAGTGCAGCGGCTTTCAGCCTTACGTACTGTTGTGGCCTTTTTAAAAGTAAAGTGTGAGATTTCTAAGATTACTAACTCCATTTTTGCCAGGAAGTAAAGCCCTCACTTGTATACAGAAACTACATTTGCTGTTGGTGACAACTAGCTTCAGGATTGCGGCCTGCGACCCTATCATCGCCTAGTTTGACCAGCCTATAGGCTATAGGATAGGATATATCAGCCTCTAAAAAGACTTAGAAAATTGATTTTTGAGCTCATCTGATGAAACTCCACGCCCTGCTGCCTTGGTTATTTTTTTCCCATTTCTCCCAGTCTTTCTCTATTTCAGTCTTCTTCAGGCATGGCCACATAATGACAAACCTGCTGTGTATTACAGGACCCTGCCCATGAGTTCCCTCCCAGCCACCTCCCTCTTCATGGGCCTTTAAAACCCTTAAATAAAGGAGGGGGTTACCGTTTTCCAAGGAGAACAAACATTTTGAAGACCAATCCTTAAAGCTACACATTCCCTCACAAGTAAAGACCATTACTCTATAGGACCATCATGGACAACCATTCATACAACTTTCCTTCCGACTGCACCCCACTCACCAACAGCAAATCTGCCCGCAAACCGGCCGGAGCCACTGTGGTAAACATGGGAAGCTGTGGGAAGAATCCTCCCCGGGACTACCTGCTCTGGTCGCTGTGCAACACCTTTTACGTTAACTTCTGCTGCCTGGGCTTCATGGCTCTCATCTACTCCATCAAGGTAAAACGTTTGCCTTTATCTTCTGGGAAAATATGTTCTTGAAGGCTTCAGTTTTGGACCGTAGTAAAGTTTGTTGATGAATACTGGTTACTGGTTGATTCGATGTATGAGCAATTTATTATTCTTTAGAATATTAGTTGTGTCTGACACTTGTTTAAATTTGAAAAATTTTTAAAACTTTTTTTTTTAAATAGAAAAATTTACTGGCTAGGTTCATGTGACAGTTAATAATCTATTTTTGTTTATCGTGTATTCTTTTAAAAAGACAATGATGGTAAAATGGTAAATGGCCTGTATTTGATCTCGCGCCTTCTAGAGTCCTGGGACCCCCCAAGATAACAAAATAAACCAATTTGTCGTTTGCCACTTGCTGTAATTGTTTGACATAGCTGGGTCTGAGTAATGCGTGTCCTCTTAGAGAGCTAGGTGTGTTAGATAATTCAGAAAAAGAAATATTAAAGGGTTCATCCATCTTTTTGTGACTGTAGGCCTAAAAGGGTTTTATAACAATCAGTGAAAACAGCTGAAAGCAGGAGAGTGTTTTAGTTGAGTTTACATCACATACTGGATAGTCTCAGAACAGTAGCAACACAACAAAATAACCAAGCACTGTTCCTCTAACTCAACTCCGAAACACCATCCATCCATGTAGGGTCGCAGGGGTGGGGGTGGGGTGGTGGGGGATGGGTCAAGCGGTCAATGGGCAATCAGACGGGGTACACCCTGGACAGAGAGCCAGTCCATCGCAGGGCAACACAGAGACACACAGGACAAACAATCACACACACACACCTAAGGACAATTTAGACAGACCAGTTAACCCAACAGTCATGTTTTTGGACAGTGGGAGGAAGCCGGAGTACCGGGAGAGAACCCACGCATGCACAGGGAGAACATGCAAACTCCATGCAGAAAGACCCCAGGCTGGGAATTGAACCCAGGACCTTCTTGCTGCAAGGCAACAGCTCTAACCACTGCGCAGCCCAACTCCAAAAGCAAAATGATTTGATAAAAATGAAACAGAGCATAATGTTCTAAATATCATTTTGTAAAAATAAACAATGGTACAAACACACGATAACCAAGAATACACACATCGTCATTTTCTTCTACCTCTATTCTGATTCTAGAAAGAACCAAAATCTTCACCGACACAAAGCAGCTCTGACTTAGTTTACAGAGCAGACACCAGCCTGCTCTGCGACTACCTGAACAAAAATGTTCCTAAATGGTTTACCACAAAAGGGTGTGTACACCCCTTATTTACCTCCCGGCTTGGTTTTGAATTACAGGCCCACCGTTGGATCGGTGCTCAAATTAAAGAGAGGGCCTCGCTCTGAGGGGAGTTAAAAATGGTGTAAGTGGCAGCTTCCTAATGAGCAAGTGCTTTTAAATAATCAGGGAGTAAAGTAACACATAGACCGGGTTAGCAGGCATCCATGACCCTGGAGCTGAGTGGTGACTGGAATGGGCAGCAGTAAACTGGAATTTATTTTGTCTTTACCATCTTCTCCTTTGCTGGATTGTTTTTTCTTTGACACTGGAGGGCTTTAATCAGGAAATGCTTGATATTTTATTGTTGCATCTGTGTTTCTGAGTCATAGTTTGATATTTTCTTGTGGTTTTGTAGGCCAGGGACCAGAAGACTCTTGGAAACTTGCAGCTGGCCCAGGAGTGTTCAGACAAGGCTAAGTGGTACAACATCCTAGCAGCCGGTTGGAACCTCCTGATTCCTCTCCTGGCCATCTTCCTGCTCGTCCTCCTGCTTGTCCACCTCAGCTCTTTGAGGGGCTCCTTCGACTTCTTAGGAGAAGATGGATTCCAGAACTTCATGAATTTGTTCAGCTGGTAGATGGAGACAGATCCAAATTGATAAAAAGTGTTCTATTCACACAGTCAGGACACATGGTTTGGTTTAGTTCCACAGATGATGGCAGACATAACCGTCGTTATTTTAGTGAGTTCCTTTTCAGCATCAGAGTTAAAATGACATTAAATGGTCAAAATAGACAGGGATGGCAAAAAAATAGACAAATGCAGAACCCAAAGGCAAATCCAGTCAACTGTTAAAGCGTGCGAGAGCCAGAATTTAGGACTTATAATTCAGGTGGCATAACCGTCATTAACAATGATAGTTTCATGAACCCCTTAATACTAACTCACACTACAGCCACGTTCCTTCATACTGGATTAAAACCTCTTAGTTCTTATGACCTGTTTTACACTGTCTGTGTAAATCTAAAATAGTTCATCCTGTGATTTTGTGTGTGCCATGCTATATTTTGTACCTTCACCACCCTGGACATGTCTGCAGCACATTCCTATGCTCATGATCAGACCACATCCCAACCTGCCATGGTGAGAGTGGGACTGCATCAGGCTGCAGCTACCCACTAGATCAGTGGTACCAAAATGCACAACTGTAATGAGGAGCCTGTTGAGTCTGGCCTTAAAGGGACAATGTGTAGTTTTTACCATTATCTTCTGGAAATATCCATCAAAATTTTGTTGAAAATGAAATGGAAGATGCCCAGTTGTTGAAAAATATTGGCAGCTTCGTAACATATAACCATAAAAATCAGGTCAAAAATACATGGGAGCGGGTCTAAGGGTGTTTCTCAGTGCCAAGGAACCTCGCCTTGATGTCTTGGCCCCACCCCGGTTGCCTAGGAGATACATCATCAGGAGCCGCCAAGACGTGTTCCAATGTTCATGTTCAACCGAGGCGTGTGTTCTCCGTTTGTTAGCTGTTTAGCTAGCTGAGCAAGGATACATGGGAGGTGTCTTGTAGCCTAGCCTTGGTCAAAAATTTCCCAGAATATACCGCTGTATTTTCAAAAGGATGGCGGATCAGAAACCGGCAGCTACTTCGGGGGCTAATTTCAAGTTTAAAAGTAAGTCAACTAATTTAAAATGGTTTTTTTTAGATCCAAAGAAGTCATCTCTGGTTGGTTATTGGCAGCTACGGTGGCTAGTGGGTAGTAACTCACTTATATATTTTACTTAACAAATATATACCTAATTTAAAAAAAAAGGCTCATTATATATTTATATTGAAACTAATACGTAAAAAAATATAACGTTATCTCCCGTGTCACATGACGTTACGTCACCGCCATGGAAGCCTGCGGTAACGTGATGCAAGTCTGTTCCATTTAACCGTTTTCTTTGACCAAGAAAGGACAGCGTCCTCGTAAGAGAGGCACTTGGCCTCACAAGACATCACCTCGCAAGGCCAGGCACCTTGACATTGAGAAACAGAAGTCTCTGGACGACGCCATATTAGATGCCATGTTTTCTTCTACGGGAGCCCAGGAGGACAAAAAGCATTTACTGATTTGTAACAAATGGTTACAAAACTTTCATCATTCTTAAATGTTGTTGTTTACTGCTTCACTTGTTGCCAGTGATGAAAAGGAGTCTGATGTGCTTGGCATTTTACTAAAATTTGTACTCCCCAGGGCTTTTTGACCCTAATGGTCATCCGTTGGTAAAGTCTTACTCCAACACAAAAACACTGCTTCCTTGCAACGATTTAGGTATCTACTGCCCATATCGCCAGGAAAATCACACTCTGTCACTTTAAGACCATCCATGTTGTTGTGGCTGATTTGTAATTTTAACAGTGAGGTGATAATCCTGTGTGAAGAGGGACAAAGGGAATGTAGTCAGTTATAAAATGACTCACATCTTAAAAATTTCCTCACTAATTAGTAAAACAGTCTGCTCTAAAAGGGTCTGATGTGATTGTTAGCAGTGTCAGGTAGAATGTGAAAGCAAAGGTTGAATAGTTCAGGATAAAGTGGATAAATGGAATCAACAGGCTCAATGAGCGACATTTCTGCTTCACTTGGATTATTTATTATATTTATGTTTAGCCAAGCTTTGGTCAGGTACGAACAGCAAAACAGAGTACTGTGTTTGGAGTCTGAGAAGAAGCCACTTTAACTATTTCTTTCATCTTTCAGTATTATTTAAATGCTATTACTGTAACAAAATAGATTTAAGTTTCATTTTCATGTATTTTTATTGTTCATGTGGCCACTTTGACTTGACGTTGTGTTGTTTCTAACCTATGAACTAAATAAAGTGAACACTAATAACAGTTAAAACATTTCTTTACTAAATGCTTTTTGAAATGCACCTCTAAACATTTCCCTCCCAGCTAATAAACACAGGTGTTGTGCTGCTACACCTGCAGCCAACCTTAAAGTTCTCATGTGGGTTTTACTCTGCGGTGGGTCGGGTGGAGCGGGTGGGGTTGTTGGTTTTTATCGCAGCTGTCAGCCCAGTGCTCCACTAGCTAAATATAATCTGTGTAAAAGACTTAGGGACACGCGACCACCCAGTAGACCACCACAGGTTTCCAGAAAATGTTTAACGTATTCATGCATGAAGTATTTGGCAGTGGCTCTTATCCGAGGTGACTGGTAAATGAGAAGGTGTGCCTTCCTGCTCTTGCAATCACAGAGGTCAAAGATGAAATCAGCATCAAAATCTCAAATTTCAGACTTGTGAGACTTGTGTTACTGAATGCCTTTTGACAAACTTCGTTATGTAAACTGGTAACTGATGCTGCTTATTGAGGCTAAAGCTATGAAGGCAGGAATCCTCCTCATCCTGTGTCTTTGATCATCTGGCAGTTTCCTCCTTCTAGACTCCGGCCATTTTAGTAGCTTCTACTTCACTAACAGCTTTTTATATATTTATGTCTCTTTTATAATCATAGGCCCTAGCTTCTAACTTTCTATTTTCCTCTTGTGGTGTGAGAGAACTGCTTACAGATGTCTGAGGGAAATTATAGGATAGGGGTTGGTTCTACAGCCAGAGTGGCTCGCTTTAGCAGCCGTTGGCTTCAGCAGAGCTGAAGGAAGCAACTGAACAATGTGCTGGAAGGATCTACAGACACTGTCCGCAATCGAGTCTCAACTATAGTTGGGCAAACATCAGTTTGTAATTCTTAAACAGGACGGCCGAGTGGTTTTTGCATTTCTAAAGAATCTTTTAAACTGCATAGATTTTTATATAACAACCAGCTGCATGTGTTCACTATAAAAGTGCACATGTGATTTGTGCAGGTTTTTGATGTCAGCCTGGCAATACCCTCTGGTTACTAAGCGGTTCATAATGGCTAAATAAAATCACATTTCCAGTTGTGTATTAAACTTGTGTTTTCAAAGAATACGGTCAAAAATAATGTCATGTTTCTACAGACATGTTTGCTGCCAAAATGCTGAAAAGAGGACACATTTGTTGAGCATATAGTCGTAATTCCAGTTATTATTTATTAAAATAAAATGTGTAAATTAGTCTAAATCAGTATTTTTTCTACTAAAAAATGCCACTTGAAGCTAAGCCCGCCCACCACCCCGTAGAGCCCTATGCCATTTGAACTCAGCGCCGCTCCACCTTAGCCAATAGCATAAGCATCTTCTTACGTACACAGTGTACTTGCATGCATCTGCAGAAGTACCTGAAGCAGAGTTGGCAACATTTATTCTAAACAAGTAAGTCTTTAAAACATATATACATTTTTTATGAATAAACAACAATGTGAGCATGTTACAATAACACAATGTGTTACACATCTTCTGTACGTTCATTCTGTGTATTTAGTCAACCTGCATTGGTTGGTTCTTTTAAAACACAGAACAAAGGAGTTGCTCTTTACCTTGTTTTGCTAACGTTTCGGTTAATTACGATCAGTGTTGGGGAGAATACGTTGTAAATGTATTTAGTTACAGAATACTGAATACTTGCTTTAAAATGTGTTCTGTAATGTATTCCGTTACTTTGTTTAATCTTGGTACTGTATTCAGAATACTTAGAATACTTTCCCATAAAAACAGCATTTAGGTCTATTAAATGTCACAATATGTGTTAAGAACTCCCGCAGGAAAGCAGGGCATATTAATGCTAAATGTCATGTATCGACTGGGGAAAAAAAAACACTTTTTTATCAAACAGTCAATAGAAAATATATTTCTGTTTCTGTGAGAAAGTGCTTGAACACTGCACAGCATTACTGTCTGCAAGAAAATGTAATCTACACAAAAAGCTTCTAAATAATTGGGACTGGCCAATCACAACACATTTATTTAGAAAAAAACGATGTATTTTTTAATGTGTTTTGTAGTTTTTCCAAGATGGAATTGCAGACTGCCTCATTGACAGACATCCAAAGCAGTCCAATCACAGTGCTCTATATGTTTGATGGGCCAATCATAGCAGTCTGTCAGCCAAATGGGTGGGATGTACCTGCAAGTTAGCAAACCAAGATGGACGCTGCTCAGTAGTGGTTCAATCACAGAGTTGTTTTGGTTTGGTGGGCCAATCACAGCACTCTGTTGGTGGACGGGAAGTTACTGTTGTAAAGATAGCGGTGGATCGTTTGAAACGGCTTTGGCATCAACTTTGGACTATGTTTGACTTAGGGTTTTCTTTGAGTCCAGGGGAGATGGATCGAGGTATATTAGTGTATTTAGAAAATGATGTATTAGCATTGGCGGTTTTAAACAGGGGCCCACAGGGGCCTGGGTCCCTATAGAACCGGCCCTGGCCCCTGTTATCGCCCCTGTGCTGAAGAGATCAGAGTTTTTTTCCCGCTCTGCCTCGGAGACGGGAACTAATGCGCTGCAGTGTTTCACACGGAGCCTTTAGAGCGCAGCACACTCTGTGGACAGAACTGTTTACCCGGTGGATTTTTGAATAAAAGATTAAAAATAGTTTAAATGGGACCCGAAGAAATTCTTGAGCACGACTAACAGAAAAGACGCTAAGAGACGACGGTAAGCAATTCAGTTTATTTTCCTGACATCAGTGTTTTGATCGTAGTCGCGCGTTTCTGTCATTTACTTTTAAGTTCCTAACTGAGTCTATCCCCAGTTAATACTGATTTGTTTTTCCTTTGTAACATTAACTGTAAAATAAAAATGAAGTTGCTGCATTTTAAGCCTTAGACACTTTGAGATTAGATCACAGTATTCATTTATCTTTGACTTTCTCGCAGCAATGACTGGAAGCATCAGCGGCCATGAAAAGAAGAAGGGGCATTTTGTCCTTTTTTACAGCTGTTAATAAAGAACAGCGTAGACAGAGAGAGGATGAAAGTCACGAGGGAGCTGAGAAGCAGGATGAAAGAGGGAAGGAGGAGTTGGTTGGAGAGGAACCAGAGAGGTCAGAGGCTGTCCTCCCTGAGAGTGAGGAGGAGGAAGATGTAGGCTGTGAGGGAGAGAGCGAGGAGCAAAAAGAGGGACATCTTCTGTCATGTGCATCGTGTACACTACCGTCAGGTCTGTGGGTGTTGAACAAACCCTCTGTGATTGCAGCTCATATTGTGTGTAAAATGCATTTGAGGCATGCTGACTCTGGACCAAAATTTCTGTTGTTTATATTTAATAAATAGATAAAATAAGACTCTGAATTAGCTAATTATGACTTTTATCCTCATGCTAACATTTATTTTCTTTCAGATATCAGCAAGTGTAAGGATGACCCACCTACTCAGCCTCATTTGAGGACATTTCCAGTGACATTAATAGGAGACAGAAGACGCAACTTTCAGCCAAGCTGGTATGAAAGTCATCCTTGGGTTGAATATTCTGTTACTATGGACTCTACTTATTGTCATGCATGCAGACATTTTAGCTCACCAAGTGGTGCAGGAAGTGTGTTTGACTCACCATGTGGATTTAGGAACTGGAAAAAAGCAACTGAGAGAGGAGTTTTTTTTTTTTTTGGTACATGCAAAGTCTGAAAGGCAAAAATTGAAATTTTCTGAAAATTGTCTGAAATTGTATTGTGCACATATTTAATTTGTTTGAATATTTATTTTTCATATGTACAGTACATGTAATCTTCAAATAAAGTCACAAACTATAATAATCAACTAGAATTATTTTTTACTCAAGTCTCATGTTGCGGTGAAGCATTCAGAATTGTTATCAGAGTACCATAAAAACATGCCAGTTTTACTTTCACAAGTAAACCATTACTGCATTCGCTGTAATAGTTTACTTGTTCATTGTCTTTAATTATGAATTTGTTTGAATCTTATTTTAGTAAAATACAGCTGTAAAAGATCATAGATTAAAAAATTTTAAGGAAAATTTTTGATACATTTGATCCCCAAAATATAGTAAAGATAGATATGAAAAAGAAGAGAACAAAAAAGTGAGTAGTTTCACAGTACTAGGAATTTCCTTTGGCAAAATTGTGCACAAGCACAAAATTAGTCATATGGCAGAGACAAAAAAGAATTTTGGTATTGCCCTAATTTTTCCCTTTTTTTGTCTTACGCCCCCATGAAAAAATACTGGCCCCACTGTGGCCCCCCTGGAAATTTTGGTCTAGAACCGCCCCTGTGTATTAGCATCTTTTTTGACGGAGTAGGGCGGACCGCATCGCTGACTTGACATCCATAGCGGTGAGTATGTCTGGTTGTTTGGTATCCAATAGCATGCGGGGAAAGACCGTAGATCTTACCCTGCACTTAGAGCAGAGACTAGAAAGAGAGCTGAGAGCTGTCAATGGACCGTAGACACTGCCCAACAATTTCTTTATGTATATATTGAATTTCTTTATTCATCTTTTGGGTGAAAAGTGAAAAACATACAAGTATTCCAAGTATTCCAATGATATTACGAAAGTAACTGTATTCTAAATACTACGTATTCTAAATACTACGTTTAAAAAAAGTAACTGTACCGGACTCATAATTAGTATTCTAAATATGTAACGGCGGTACTAGTATTCCGGTACTCCACAACACAGATTATGATAGCCATCATCATTAAACACAATGTGTTTCATTTTCAGCTTTGTTGGCCGGCTAAAGATGAGTGTTCACGAACGAGAGGCGCCGCTTCCAGCCGTAATCATGGAGGCAGGGAGAGGGGCTTTAAGTGTGATACATTTTCTACACCTGTAGAGGGTGCTATCTGACAGGTGGAAAAAACATATTACACCCCTAAAGCAGGTAACACTACGAGTATCAGGCAGAGGTGTGACCAAGTCACTGCTTTGTAAATCACAAGTCTTTCCAGTCAAGTCTTGAGTCAAGTCCACGTCAAAGACAACCAAGTCCAAATCAAGTCCAAAGTCAATGATCTGGAAGTCCAAAGTCAAGTCCAAGTCCCTAACTTTGAATTTTAATGTCATAATCAAGTCATCTGTCTAACTTCAATCTAATGACAATGATAATAAATAAATTCCAGGAATAAATCTTCTTAAAGCTTCATTTATTTGCTCAAACAAGCAGGAAGTGCAACTGAAACTATAAACAAAGTGCTGCTGCTTTTAGCAGAACAAGACCAAACCCAGAACCAAGAATGATTTATGATTTTTGTCCATGTCGTGCCACTTCTGTGCTAAAATATCAAATATGCTCAAGTCATCATCAAGTCAACAGATGCAAGTCAATTCAAGTCGCAAGTCATGGGCATTCAAGCCCGAGTCAAGTCGTAAGTCTTAATAGATTTTATCAAGTCAAGTCAGAAGTCATTAAAATAATGACTCGAGTCTGGCTCGAGTCCAAGTCATGGGACTCGAGTCCACACCGCTGGTATCAGGGATTTCTAAAACAAGTCATAATAATCATTCCTGAAGGGGGAAATGCTGAATTGCTACTTCAAAGCCTAATAAACAACGACAACAATGTCATTACAACAACACAAAAGTAAATATCTACTAAAACCTTTGGGGTTACATATGAACCTGATGCTGGTTCAACTTAAACCAGGAGAAACAAAATGTCTGGTAACAAAACTAGATAGTTGAAACTGATCTCTTATAGAATGTTTTGCTTTGATAACCCTCCATATCTAAAACGGTCAACATGAACAGGAAACACATTATTGACGTCCTGAGAGAAACGATATCTGACAGGAGGCCACCTGTAGGTCTTTATTAAATATGGATTAACAATAATGGGCTCAGAGTAACTAAACTAAAACATCTTTGTTGACAAGCTTGCTTAGGACTTAGTGAATAATAAACAAAACTAAAGGCACATTGTTTTAAGATTGCAGCTTAAACCTAACCTGAATCCACCTTCCTATCAAGTATCATGCAGTTCTGTGTGACATGTTTGGTGTAATTTCAATGAGAAACAAAGATGTAGGTTGTTCCTTTATGATGGAAAGCTGTGTGTGAAAGTCTGGTTTGACTTAGTGTGTGTGTCTGACCCCTTGTGGCCAGAAAGTGAGGCAGGAATGGGAGGAATGGAGGTCTTGCCTTCTCACTTACCCACTCACAATAAAAGTACTTAAAGCATAAAATAACTAATTACAACTAAAGAAATGTAAAAATCTGAACATTCGGCAGCCAGCTGGTGTGAATCAACCTGAGTCAACACCCAGGGAATGATGATCTGGGGTAAGTTTTTATTCTTTAGTAAGGCTAAAGTCTTATTTGTTTGTATGAAAGGCGATAGGTTTACTTTTAGTCACCGGGTCACACCATCATTATCGTCACCTCCACCACCATCATCATCATCATCATCATCATATTCATCATCATCATCATCATATTCATCATCATCATCATCATCATTATCGCCATCACCACCATCATTATCGTCACCACCACCACCACCACCACCACCACCACCACCATCATCATCATCATCATCAACATCATCATCATCATCAACATCATCATCATCATCACCATCATTTTCACCATCACCACCATCATTATCATGATAATAATGATGATGATGTCATCATTCACACGCTGGTGAGGAGATGTAACCACAGTTGCCCCGGGGTGCTGAACACTGGCACCACTGGTCCAACCACCACCATCATCATCCTCATCATAATCATCATCCCCTTCATCATCATCACCTGTTTGCCCTGGTTGACATTTTTTATGATAAAAGCCTTCTGTTAACTTTCATAGCAACTGACATTAATCATTGACTTACAAATAAATTAAATGAAATCAACCCACAATTAAAAGATTAAAATTGTAATCATTTATAAACTATCTATAGCCAATATATTAAAATCACCTTTTTCCTGGCAATCTCCTTTCTGAAGCCTCTTCCTTTCCTCTGCGCATCCAACTGAGTTGAGGAGACCGGTTTATTTATCTGGGGCCCCTGAGCCAAGGCTGGATTATAATACAGGCAAACTGGGCACAGGCCCAGGGGCCCACAGCCACAAGGGGGACCACGCGACCAGCAGTCATTTTATTTTATTTATTTATTTTTTTTGTGCAGCGGTCTTAACGTCGGAGAAAAAAGTTGACAAGTAATTAAACTTGCGCCCACATTTTCTAAGTTAACACACATTTCTTTTAACAACAGTAGTTTTTGCATCTTTACTGCCCGCTTCAGCCCACTCCCCCCTCCCCCTGCACAGCGGCCGCAAACTCACTGATGCACCTGCAGCCTCTCAGAGTTCCTGCTGATCTAAACATTGAAAGAATAATTTAATTTTCTGTTCCTCACTTCTGATCACCTTCAGTGGTGTCTGTTTGTTGCAACCACCAGGTACAAAAACTAACCTGTTTTTATTTGACTATTTTTCTGTTGTGTCTGTTTATTATCTTCCAGCATCTCCTCTCAGTCCTGAAGAAAAACTGCTACCTGGCTTCATATTTTCACCTCATGAATTACGTTTGAACTGCAGTTCTAAAAGACCTACCGACCGCAAATATAGTGGCGTGCGCACTGGCCGCACCGGTGCGGGGAAGTCTCCAGAGGATGAAACAGGTGATGCGCTCGCTCCGCAGTAGCGAAACGTATCAGACACAAATAAAAGACAGAAAGCATGAAAGGATATGAGCTGACATGAACGATCGCGTGTGGAATTTGTTTTTGAGGAGGCGACACTTAGATAATGTTACTGTGGCCGTGCTCAGGACGCAGCTACTGGAGCGCATCAACAATCAGAGCTCTGCACCTCTCAGCTCAAAATAATCCCCAGAGAGTCCACATAGAAAATTTAATTTAAGAAGTACCAGGATCGTTTTCGGGCTAAATAATTGTCTACAGTCCATCATCCCTAATGTATTTGTGGCCCTGTGGATTTTTCTAACTCTACCAGTTACAAATTGTGACGGGTAACGATCATTTTGACAAATGGCAAGAATAAAAAATGAACTGAGAACAACACAAACTCAACAGCGCCTCAGTGCACTATCACTGATGGCAACTGAATCTCAGTTTGTCAGGAATCTGGACTTTGATGACATTGTAAATGAATTTACTAATAGAAAGGCCAGAAAGCAGTTTTTCTGAAGGCAAGAGAGGAGACCAACAAGAGGAGACAAAAAGAAGAGTAAAGAGACAGGAGTCAAGAGGAGGAAGGAGACAAGAGACAAGAGGAGGAAGGAAACAGGAGACAAGAGGAGGAAGGAGACAGGAGACAAGAGGAGGAAGGAAACAGGAGACAAGAGGAGGAAGGAGACAGGAGACAAGAGGAGGAGGGAAACAGGAGACAAGAGACAAGAGGAGGAAGGAAACAGGAGACAAGAGAAGGAAGGAGACAGGAGACAAGAGGAGGAAGGAAACAGGAGACAAGAGGAAGGGGACAGGAAACAAGAGGAGGAAGGACACATGAGACAAGAGCAGGAAGGAAACAGGAGACAAACAAAAAACATGCAGATATTCTATCTTTGCAAACTTTTCAATAACTGTATAATCTTTTAAATAATTCTGCATTACTTTCTGTTGTAGTGTGACAGTGGGATCTATTTTACAGCAGACTCTTGCCCCCACCGTCCCACAGATTGACCACAATTTTGTTATTACAGACAGAAGAGAAGACAGGAGCGCTGTGAGGAAGAGAGAGACAGAAAAAGAGGAGAAAAGAGAGAGGACAGAGGAAGAATGACATATGAGTGAGGCACAATAGGAAAATCATCAGGTATGAGTGTTTGTGATTAGGTTCTAAAACTATTTTGACCTGGAGGTAAAAGCTTTTGTATCAACATAAGTAAGCAATTTTTTAAATTGACGATGTTATGAAATGTCCAAAAAGTGCTTCTGGGTGACAGTAATGTTGGGTAGGCTGGGTGGGGTGGGGTGGTGGTGGGGTGGTGGTGGGGTGAGGGGTGGGGGCCTAAAGCACATTGTGCCCAGGGGCCCCTGCAATGATAATCCGGCCCTGCCCTGAGCATGTGATCCGTAAACAACCGAGTCCCTCCCACGTGTCTTATACCAAAGCGGGAAATATGCTAATGAGCTGGAGTGGAGACGCACAAACACCGGGCTGTCTGGTGGTTCAGACAAGAGACTAAACGTGTCATCACATGTCGTGCGGATAAGGGACAGAGACAGGAGACGTGACCAGCCAGGTCTCCTTTGATATCGGCACCACAAAGGCCACCGGACAGGATGCAGAGGTAAAAACACCCATAAACAACACATCAGCTCACCTCGGGCTTCTGGGTCGGGAAGGCATTTTTAGTGCAACAATGAACTTTAATATCGCCGTTAGAAATTTCATAAATGAATATGCAAAATAATAACAGGAGAAATTCGACTTCTGGACCATGTTTTTATGTTTTTTTTCTCCGTGCAGTCTTTGACTGCGGTCAAGTGAGCCGTCGTTCGTTTGTCCGTGGTTAAGTGAGCCGCACCTACATTTGAAGTGCACATTTACATGGTACTTTACGGTAACACCGTCTCGCTGCTGGAGAAGAGCTGAGATGAGCGACAGAACGGGCTGAAATCAGGACGACAGAGCTGCTAAATGTGCCTTTTTGATACACACATACTAAGCACCTCGAGTACTACGTGGTACCAAAGTATGAACTACTTTTACTGTGTACTTTTTCAGTAATTGTCCTTCAAAGTATGTCCAAAAAGCTAATGTGCCGTTTTTGAGACAGGATAAAATGAGATTTGGGAAAAAGGGCCACTAGGCCACCTATACATGGAGTTGGAAGAAGTGTAACTTATTCAACCCTCTCCAATATTTCAAGATTGTTTTATCTAAATATTATAATGCAAAAAAATAACTACAGTCATGGCTAAAAGTTTTGAGAATGACACAAGTATTGTTTTTTACAAGTTTTTTTTTAAATAAACTCCTTTTAGATCTTTATCTCAGTTGTTTCTGTGATGTACTGAAATATAACATTCTGGAGTTTATGCTAATTATTATAAAAATCCGAAACTTTTCCAGTTTCCAATACTTAGCCAATTTTAAAAACCTTTGGCCACAACTGTATTATTTATTTTTCTACACTGCAATGTATCAACCAAATCATAGCATATCACAGAGTAACAGTTAAAGCAATGGAAAACCAATTACCTCACAATCTATCTACAAGCACTCACCCAACAAGATAAAAGTCATGCACAATATACATTCCTATATGCAGCGTTGGAGCCACGCACAATCAACTCCATCTCCCATATTCGTCTATATACTTATTTAAATAAAAAAAAGTTATCCTATCTCAAACTCGGCATTCCATGCTGTAGTTCTTTTTTTTTTTAAACACAGAGCAGTTTTGTTTACCTGTACGTTTCGTTTTGCGGCTGCAAACTTCCTCAGGCTGATGCAAACTTCCTCAGGCTGACGTCAGCCTGAGGAAGTTTGCAGCCGCAAAACAAAACGTACAGGTAAACAAAACTGCTCTGTGTTTTAAAAAAGACTTACAGCATGGAATATGAGATACGGCACAGCAAGAACACACCTAAGATGTTGAAACTCGGCACTTTTGGCGATTTGGACATAATTTAAGTACAATAACTGAAAAAATACACAGTAAAAGTAGTTCATACTTTGGTACCAGGTAGTACTTGAGGTACTTAGTAGGTATGTATAGGACGCTTAGTGTCCTTTTTTAAAAACAAAATTTTATCCTTTATCAAAAAGGCACATTTAGCAGCTCTGTGTCATCCTGATGTCCGCCCTTTCTGTCGCGCATCTCAGCTCCTCTCCAGCAGCGAGACGGGTGTTACCGTAAACTACCGTATAAACGCGCACTTCTAGTCAGTAGGCGCGGCTCTCTTGACCACAGTAATTTAGTTTATGACCCGTTTGTGTCCTCGTTAGATTTGGTTTAATAAATAACTACCTTTGTTTGCTATAATTTAGCAGCCAACGTTCCCTGCTGAGTAGCTGTGTGAAATGAAAGAAACTTCAGTCTGAGTGAGTTAAGCAACAGACTGAAGCTAGCAGGGCAAAGCAGAGAAACAACGAAAGTCAGCAGATTGGTGAAGCCTCTGGTCAGATACATGCAGAAAGGAAAGATAGGACTGAAAAGAATAAATCATGAGTGCTGCAGCCCATTAAGTTATACAGTAAAATTTACAATAATGAGAGAGGACAGTTCTTTTCTCTATTCATTGTTAAATTTATAGCATGTTGAGGACCCCAGTGCATATCAAGCATCTGCAAATTTGCTTCTTGAGTCATAAATTCAAGTTAGACAACCCCAGTGGCATCCTATAAGTACCTCTATCAAAGTGATTTAACTTATTTATTTTATTTATTCTTTTCTACATTTTGATGTATTAATACATGTAAGAATTTAGATTTTTTTAATTTAAAAAATGCAAACTAATCCTTTTTGTGAATGCCAGAGTTACTTTTGCACAAAATAAAAGTTAAAGGTTTTATAAAACATGAAATATGCTTTATTTTGAGCCATTTCACCTTGTTTCTGTGTAAAGGTAAACATAACTCTAACCCACTGTAGCTTCTTCAGTTGACAGGGCATGAACAGCCTCAGATCAGAGAAATAGTTCACATACCTGACCCAGCCTTTCCACTGGATGTGTAAGCGAAGCGTAAAGTAATAGACACATTTTATCCTGAAGCCTTGTTTTGTTTGCGCTCACACACGTATCGGTGGAGACATTTTCCTTTTATATTTCTCCATCAGTGTCTCCATCAGTGTTGTTAGTCAATTCTCCTCCAGGACAGCAGAGGGCGTAGAGCTTTTCTTGGGTATCCTACCATCAATGCAGTCATGTCTCTAGTGTGCTTACATGGGGAGGCTAAAGGTTGGTTTATGCTTGACGCGTCCGCGAGGTCCGCACGGCTCCGCGCGGAAAAGTTGCGTCATTTTAACAACCACGCCCCTCCACCGCATCTCCGCACGGCCCAAGATTTCTGCAACGCACACCTCGGAAAATTTCTAACCACGCGGACGGTCGGACGCGGAAAAACATGGCGGACCGGCACGGCAGAGGTTCGTAAATACAGACATTTGTATGATTCGGCTCTCAAAGATCACTGTGATCAATGTGTTGTTAATAAATCGGAGAGAAATAGCTCGCACTGTCGGAAAAGACGAGAACGCTGTTAAAAATGCTGAAATGCCATGTTGTAAACAGTCATTTCTACTTCTACTATGGTGTAGTGTTGGATTCTTGCCGTAGAGCTCCATGCTGCCCCGTTCAGTTTGGGAGAATATTGGCTCACCGCAGAGACGAGCCGCACAAACCATAAACGCTGCGAGTTGTGAAGCGCGTTCCAGCCGCGAGCCGCATCACCGCGCGGAAAGTGAATGCGTCAAGCATAAACCAAGCTTAAGTCTCCTCCCTTTCCGGTCGGCTCATGGGTCCCCGCAAGAATGAAAAAATTAATGCAAGTCAACGGGGCTAAAAGCGCTATTTTCTAATCCGCTTTGCCTTACGCCCTGGATCACACATATGTTGTACTGCAATTTAAATGAAAAGTAATGATGGGTGTTTTGACCACACCTTTCACGTACTTTGAGATTTATCAGCTTGTAAAAGTTTATAATTAGCATGTCTACAAACTAGAAATCGGCACGTCGCATATGTGACGTCACCACATAATCTCCTCCCCCCTAACATAGCTGCTACTTACCAAATGACCAGATTTATGGTGTTTCTTTCCTCCTGTGGGAAGTTTGCTGAACTTACAGCCCTTTTCCCTCAGTTTTCTCCGTGTCTGGTTCGACGACGTCACTTTCGTCATGCGCATTTGTAGTCCTGGACTTATTTTCACACAAAACCTAAAATAGCGTTTTCCCCTGTTCGAAAATAAGTGCGTTCTTGGTATCAAAATGCTTCCTTAAAATTCACGGACAGCATATGTAAAATCCATGGAACATAACAAGCAGAACTAGAAAATAGCGTGTTTAGCCCCATTGACTTGCGTTCATTTTTTCGTTCTTCCGGGGACCCATGGTGTGGAAGTAGATGGGCGTGACTTATTGTGTTTATGTATTTCAGTGACTTTTTAACACGAACATATTTTTCCAATCACCACCTCTTAACTCAGGTTTTCTGTAATTTCCTGACAAGTAAAAAGTTTGCTGTGCATCTTTGTACTCCTTCAGTCATTGTTTACATCATTGGTCTTTTTCCGCCAGTGGTTCCTCAAGCTGCTCCATGTCTGTCACCAGATATTTTCGCACTCGTTTTATTTTTTGTGGGGGAATGGCGGTGCTGTTGATAAAGTTAAAGGAAGCGGCGTCCTGACCAATCACAGGCTTTCGATCACTGCCGCATTGGAAGGATAGTTAGAAAAGTGAGCTCTACTCTGTCCGCCCTTGCAAGCCTGTTGGAGAGCCCTTGCGATGAAGGATAATGGTGTTGCATGTCTTAGCACAGATGCAGACGAAGTAGTATAAACTAGGCTTTAAGCTCCCTTGCCACTGGGAGCAATTCAGACATGAAACGGCAGCAAAAGTGTTCATTTTGCTGGTGATGCGAGGTCACAAAATCACGTAAAAAATAGCATCGTAGTGAAAATTTAGCATGGGTGTGTGTCACTACACTTCTGGGACATGCCTAAAATGCACCGCTTTGTGGCCGGTTGAAACACACCCATCTACTAACAGGGTAACTGCTGAGTGCCATGCTTCACGGATGTTATGCAATGCTTACGTGTGCGGTGGAAAGGCTCGATTAGGGTTGATGAGCTAAAGTCTCAGAAAACAGGCATTCACAAAGCTATCTACAGAAAAACACATTGATTGTTTCTAACTTACACAATGCTTAGTTTAAATATTTAACTTGATGGTTTCACTATAAACTACTTTTTATCACACACGTGCAGTCATCTGTAGATTTTAGCATCACCACTATCAGACATGCTTGTTTTGAGCTCAGTTCGGTTTTATGTGCTGCTGTTTATCTTGGTGTTTGTTGGTATTTTAAGCTTCTAACAACCAAATAAAGATCTTCCTGCACACTCAGGAAGATGTGGATGTGATGGGCTTTCTTTATGCATTTTGTATGTGTATCTCATCTATACTATTGATTTTAAAAGAGGCTTCTTGCCATTTGAGCCTTGTGGCACATTTTTGTTCTTGAATCTAAAGCCTGCTCTTTGCACTGCTGTCCATGTGTTAAAGAGAAATTTGCTGAATAGCTCTCAAAACTTGTTTTTTTCTCCTAAAAACAGTTGAAG